TCTGCCCTTTCCCTGGCCGCTCTTTCCTCCCACTGGTGGTGAGAGGCTGGGGAGCAGCTGCACGTGGGCTGCTGTAGTGTGGTATTTGGGCAGAGAACCGATGAGTGACTTGCATTCATGGTCTCAGCACCTGTGTTGGGACAGAGTTTTAGCTTTCAGGAGAAAATGAGAGAAAAAAAAACTTTCAAGTTGTAGGAGACACGAAGATCATATGATGAGGTGGGTACACCTAGGTACCCACTGTCTGGGTCTGTTCCTCTTGTTTGCCATGATGAGCAGCAAGGTGGACTTCACCTGTGGGGCCACCTTTGAGTGATGTGCAGAGCCGCTGCAATGCTCCTGGCAGCTCCCGCAGTGTGGAAAGAGAGGGGGCGAAAAAAGCTGCTGCTTAGGAAAAAAAGGAAAGCTGTTCATACTGAGCATTTCATGCTGCATAGCTGCTGTCAATACAATATATGTTTAAGACTGCCCTAAAACAGGCAAAATTGCAAAGATCAGGCTAAAAGAGAGAGTAAATTGCCCCATCTGAGGATGTCCATAGTTGCCAAGCCACCACTGCAGAAGCGATCCTTTGAAGATCTTTGTTCTCCAAGGCCTGAGAGAGACCTGCCTGTGCCTGTCACCAGAGGTCTCCTCAAACAGCTGTCTCTGAAAAGTTAAACCTGGTACGTGCAAATCAGGCTCTTATTAAAGTTTCTTACATCATCGTTAGCAATATGGCTAGTGCATGGCCGGGAATTGTTCGTGAGGTAGGAGGTGAAGCTAATTTAGCTCGTCCACTGAGATCTGCCTGGGATCTGGGGCTGCTGGGGACAAACTGCATTGGTCAGGTGCCATCTGAGCACTTTACGAAGAGGCAGAGGTGGAACAAGGAGTCATTTTGGTCAGTGCAGCTGCACTTTACATCAGACCACAGAGCCATGGCTGAGTGCGGGCAGGCCTCTGGTGAGACCTCTGCTGCTGTTTTACATTAGAGGTCTTCAGGCACCACTTCAGGTGTCCTCAGGTGTTGGGAGGCACCAAAGCTGTAGCAAAGTGTGAGGTTTAGGATGATCTTTTGACACCTATAAAAAACACAAAGTACCAAGAGATGACTGAGGGAGGATTTGTTTTGTT